GTCTTTGTAGATTTGGCCAGTCTTGCTATTATGTGCCTTGGAGAAGATCTTCATGGATTGATTCTATTAGGGATCCTTTGTATTTCTTGGTTCTGGATTGGAATAATTTTTCTTCCCTCATGGCTATTGTCCTACTCCTACAGTTTTTCTCAAATGTCATTATCTTACTGAGGCCTTTGCTGATCACCCTATTTAAAATTATATTCACATGCACACGTATACACACACACTTGTATTCCCAAGCCCCTTATCTACTTATATTTGCTTCATAGAATTTATATATATCTAGTACATTATATATTTTACTCATTTTGTTTGTTTATTCATCCCATTCCAACACCCCTACACTAGAATTTAAGGTCCCATGAGAGCAAGGAACTTTGTCTGTCTTGTTCACTGCTCTACTTGTGGTGCCTAGAATAGTACCAGGCACATAGTAGAAAGTATTTGTTAATGGAATGAATGTACATATTTGTTTAAAGAATTAATGGTACAGGCTTTTGACAAAACAGTGTATATCAAAAGCTTTTATTTATTATTTTAGGGTTTTTTAGTTTTGTTTTTGTTTTCCTATAGGGCACATCCACTTGCTGGAGAGAGAAAGAGAGGCCAAGAGAGACAGAGAGAAGCAAAGTGAGAAATCACACAGGAGGGATGGCCACACCACAATTCCTTCTCCTCCATTTTCTCACTGAGATTTTGGATATGCACACACATGCACCTGGAGTGATTTTCAAGCTACCTCAAATCATAGTCGGCTATGTGGGAATCCAGTGCCCTAACCACCATGCCATCTGCTGGCCTCCATCAGAAAACCTTTAAATGGACCCAGTAATTACAGTTTGAGGAAGTAACTAAATAATTGAATGGGAAATAAAAAATTATACCCATATTTATCCATAACATTAAAATTTTTTCTTGGAAGATTCCACATGGCTCCTGCGAACTAGGTATTTCAGGGCACATGAGAAATGAAGATTTTCTACTGATAATTCAGCCTCCAGCAAACAAGCTAGCAGCAGGAGAGGCCAGGCCTTCAGAAGAAGATTCCACATGGCTCCTGTGAACTAGGTATTTCAGGGCACACGAGAAATGAAGATTTTCTACTGATAATTCAGCTTGCAGCAAACAAGCTAGCAGCAGGAGAGGCCAGGCCTTCAGAAGAAGATTCCACATGGCTCCTGTGAACTAGGTATTTCAGGGCACACGAGAAATGAAGATTTTCTACTGATAA